AATTTCTAAGCTGAATGTGGAATGTTCTTGCATTTGTGCAAGACCTGATTGTGGCTGGTAGGCTATTCCACACGACAGCGTATCTGACGAGGAAGAAGTTGGATCGGATAGCTGTCCTGGTTCTCGGCACACATAATGTACAGGTCTTGTTGCATATATTCCGAGTGGTTATGTTGAATTTAAGTGTACACAGATTGTAGTATGTCTTTTGGTTTATGAGATTGTGTATCAGCATCAGATTATGTTTCAGTCGTCGCAACCATAGAAATTCGAGCTTAAGCTGCTGGCAGCACTCCTGATAACTCAAGGTGGTTGAGTAACTGAACAACCGCTTAGTGAATGATCTTTGCAGGTTTTCTAAAGCTTTCCTGTCACCCCTTCGCATGTTCCCATAGATGATGGTACAGTACTCAAGGACTGGAAGTGCAGCTATTTTGAAAAGTTGGAGTCTGGCAGGGGTTGTATAGATTTTGTGACATATCTTAGCCACAGATCGTTTGGCACGTGCTATTTGATACTCAGCTTGCTCTGAGAAATTAAATTTGAAGAGTATCGTATGCCTAGATCACAGTTGGATAGTTTCACACAGATACGTTCATTGTTCAGTTTAACAGACTCTTCAGGGATTAAACAGCCGTGTGACATAATGCATGATTTACTAGCTGAGAAATTTAGCATCCATGTGTTGCACCATTTCTCAAGTGAATCGAGGTCTTCTTGAACGAACAGCATTGCGCTATTGAGTTCGTCTCGTCGAAATTTATAAACAATCTTTATGTCATCGGCGAACAAAAATGGCCTGCCATGTTTTATGAACACCGTGATATCGTTAATATAAAGTAGGAAAAGCGAAGGACCAAGTACACTCCCTTGGATGACACCACTAGTGATTGGACGTGGGGAGGAGTTATGATTACCCAGAGTGACTATCTGGTAACGCCCATTTAGGTATGATGTCAACCAACCAAATAGTGGGTCTCTGATTCCAAACGACTCGATTCTTTTCAGTAGCCGCTTGTGGGGCACTCTGTCGAATGCTTTCTGCATATCCAGGAACAGTATTATAACTGCATATTTCGAATCAATGGCTTCTGTGATGTAATCCAGGTAGTGCAACTGACACGTTGTACAGGAACGTTTGTCGAGGAACCCATGCTGGGATTTGTTAAGTAGCCCATGACGATGGATAAAGTCCATGATTCCACTTTTAACTAATTTTTCGAGTAATCTAGCGATGACGGGAGTATGATGGATAGGTCGATAATTAGTGACGTGCTGTTTGGGCCCCCTTTATGACGAGGGACAATAAACGATGTTTTCCACTGACTCGGAAAGTAGCTAGATTCTAAGGACAAGGTGAACATGTTCAGCAAAAGCAGTGGTATGTCAGGTCCACCGAGTTTAATAACTGATGGGGGGATGCCATCGGAGTCTGGTTTGAGCGATGGTTTGATGGACTTCATAGCCTGTTGGATGGTCGAAAGAGAAATCTCGACATTATCTATGACGCTTGTTGTAAGTTCCGGGCAGCAAGATATAGGGTCTGTTTCTACGTTCATGGAAGCAGCGAAAAATGTTCCAACTGCTTCACAAATAGCAGGGGGTCATTAAGGTGGCGACCCTCATTATCAATAAGTTCTGCAATCAAAGACATTTGATTGTTAGTCCTACGACAGAGTAGTTTGGCCAATTCCTTTCCTTTGCATGTCGTCTGCAAGGCGTTCTCCTCCTCCTTTTCAATCCGTTTCAGTTGTGAGCGCTTGATGCAGGCGGTTGATTTGTGTTGCTTTAATACTAGTGAGAAGCTTCTAGTATTGCTGAATTTCCCGAGTAGTTTTCTCATGTTCAAGTCACTCAGAGTGTCGTTTACATTCATAGGACAAGGAATGGCACGTTTATTATGCTGGACCTGTACAGTTAGGATGTGATTGAAATAGCAGTAGAAATGTTCCACTATAACCTGGATGCTAGTGGAAAGAAAAAAAACCATCCCAATTAGAGGACCGTATCTGCTTTCCGAAATGCTCCCAGTCAATCCTTCGTATAGTATGCTGGGTAGTTAAGTCTAGTTTGGTATTCCTTTCCAAGTGGATGGAACGGCGTAGCATGTTGTGGTCCATACCCGGAAGGAAGTCTAAGATGTCAGCTTGTGCGTCAGGAATCCCCAGGGTAAAGGATAAATCCAGTATGTTGGCAGACCTAGTTGGTCTGGTAACCCACTGAGTCCATCCCCCAACTCTGATAGTCGATAAGAAAGACCTGTCCAATGATGAGGATGTTTGTGGTGACCAAGTACTATTCGGTAGATTGAAATCGTCAGCCGTTATCTTTAGACCATGTGGTAACACCGATGCGAAATCAAAAGCCGAGGAGACAATTGCGAAATCTTTGGTTGTCGCTTTCGGAGGGTTGTAGATGCAACCGAGAAGTATTGTAGAGGAGGCTGCAGCGACTGATAGCCATAGAGATTCTGGGACATTGTTTAACTGTGGGTCATCAATGAACTCTGCTCTAAAGTTCCGATGGAGATATACGATACACCCGCCGCCTTTCTTTGTGCTGCGATCTTTGCGAAATAGATAATAGTTAGGAATATCTAAAGTAGCATCCAATGTATCAAAAGCGCACCATGTTTCGGTGACGAGGATTACATGTGGGGTGCCGAGCTGAGTAAGCATGCTTACAAAATGCAACTTGTTTTTTATGGATCTTGCGTTAATTAGTATAAGTGAAAATGTAGTGTTCACCAAAACCTTTCTGTGAGTACTTCAAAAGATTGAGAATCAGAAATGACAGGTAAAGAAGTTAAATAAGGGAGTGGTGAAAACAAACCCATCAGTGGAATGCTCAGGTGTAGGGGCATTGTTCGCGCTAGTAAGACCGGGTTGGCGGATAAGATGGATGTCCCGAGGCAAGATTGGGTTTCTTCTGATATCGAGCTAACCGTGACATGTGGATGAACTGCTAGAAAAGTGGAACAAGATAGGCTGTCTCTGCTGGGTGTGTTAGTGGTGGTAATGGGTGCGGAGCCATACCCGCTTCCGCTAAAAATTGGTTAAGGTAAATTGATGGATTCTGAAGTGCTGCATAAGTATGTCGCATGGCAGATGGTATTGTCAGACTTTCAACATCTTTTTGATTTTCATTCCTTTGTTTAGGGCTGTTGTAGACGTGAGGCTGACAACTATGCTGGCCTGTTGGAGGTTGGTAGGTAGGTTTAGCATGAAGATAATTCTTGTGAGTTCTAACTGGCTCG